ACACATATATTTTGCCGGACAATTGCCGCAATCCGTGCGCCCATGATATATACTGTCATAATATTACTAAACTAAGGTTTAGTAATATTATGATACTGTACAAGTACATTATTGCCGGTTTAATGTGGGAACTGAAACCATTGATATTATTCACATTGTTCTCGTATTCAGTGCACTACATCATTGCGTTCATTCGGCTGAAATTATGTAAGTAACATTAGATATACGTTCTAGTGACTAATGCCATTATCCATATGCCAAAACAGTTTAATTTATGACAATTGTACAGCGGTAATTATTAACCGTAAGGAAACAGCCATTGAAATAATTCCGCCGCCCACAAAAAAATTTCTGCTAGCAAAATGAGTTCGGAATGCTCCTGCATCAAATGCACAGCTGCACAGCTATGCAGAGCAATGTACAGCTGCAGCTGCGTACCGGGCGGGGCCATCCCGTCCGCCCCCGAGCGACCCATCCGCATCTGCCCGGCGTTCCCGGGAAAAGGCACGCCGGCCTGGAGACCAACCTGGCCGGAGTGGACGCGCAGCTGCTCCCGGCGCTGCCGGCGTTGATCCTCCATAACCGTCTTGATTTTGTAGATCTTCTCGGCCAGATGCTCGTAGTATTCTTCGCGGGAGTTGGCCTGTTCGTACATGTTCGCCTCCACTTTGTGGGCGTAGGAGACGATGTTCGTCATGCGTTTCTCAAGCGCCGCCCACCGGTCCTTGTACGGGAATATGGCCTCCACACTGACAATCACCAAGAAAAAAATTTGAAATGGGTTCTTTAAATAAATTTTTGTATGCGAAAAAATCTAAGGGCCGAAAACGTCGGTACTTTTCCGTTCTGCAGATGCGGCGTACTTACATATCAATTTTAACGATAAACGCATATAAACTGATATCATGTATTGTTACATATACGTATCTACAAAAGATACACACTTATGCTACAGCTTTCTTGATTTCAAATTAAGCTGACACTGACGACAAGATTTTCGTTCACCATTTTGAACAAGAACGTCGCAATTAAAACGTACAGTTTTTCGATGAGATGCTTGCGTAAAGAATCCGTACTGGCCTGTTCGTCGCGGTCTACCACCACCTGATGCCACTTCTTGACGGCCACCTGATGGGGCACGAACTGCGGATGATTGTCCAGCGGAGAGCTGGTCGCCCGCGGTGCCGAGCGCGCCGGCACACCTTCCGCCGACGGCGGAAGAACCTGGCCGTGAAGTTTCACGACCTCTTGCTGGCGCGTGCGCGGCTTTTCCCATCCGGCGCGGATCACTTGGCAGAAAGGCACAAGACATTGACCGTCATTGCACTGCTTGGCGTGGTAGCAGCACAGCGTGACCAGCGGCCGGCAGAGCGGACACTGCGTTCTGGGCTTATGTGTGCAGGTCTTGATGTGGGAGACGAGGCGCTTCATCTTGCCACAACGGGGCTCACTGCAGACGGCCTCACGGCAGTACCCGACGTGCAGCAGTGGCGGGAGGCTGCGTTCAGCGGCGGGCCAGTGGGCTGCCGGCGCCGTCGCAACTCCCTGCATCCGGGTGTCCTGTTCGACCGGAATCGACGCATTCGGCACGGGCAGAGGGCCGTCCCTGGCAATATCACCCGCGGTCGGTGAAGCGTCGTCCGCAGCACCAGTCGGGCAAGTGGAAGGCGAATGGGGAACAGAAGAATTCATTTCCTGGGGGCAGAGGAACTGGTACTTCGTTGGATTCGGGCTGAGATGGAAGCGGATCCTACCCAGTACAATTAACATTAACTAGCTATCAACACATCAAGATCGTTTGAACGCATTTTGTAAAACATACTGATTTAAGTTATAACTCCATACAAAATAACACAACATAAGAATAAATATTGTAATAGTGCTTGAATAAGAAATAGTAGGTAATATAAGATAAATAATAAATAAAAAATAGTGACATAATAGTGACAAATAATAGTGACATTAACTGAACACCGTTACAAGTGCCTTTAGTGGCTCAGTGTATAGTGGTACAGTACGATCAGCGCTACCGCCTCTGGGGTGCAACGTCCGAAGAGGAGCTTAGCAAGAAAAACGAATTTTTTTGGCTGCTTGAGCGACGCAACTGATTGTGAGAAGCATGCAACACAGATCTTGGGAAAAAACGCTGATCAGGTAAATATGTGTGCTCCGACATGCACCCCTCCGCCTTCTTCAGTTCTAAACTAACCCTTAAAGAAATATGGAAATGCGAAACTAACAAAAACAGCGAAAATCCAAGAACATTAACATCTTTTTAATAACTCACTCTTTTACGGTCATAGTAACACCAAGTGTGCATTAAATGTATCAATAATTAAAACAGTTTAATAAAAAGTGAGGAAGAAATATGTTCAGATGCACAGGCACACATTGCAAGAACGGTTGCAGCCGTTGGGCCGTTGGACTACTCTACCTGGGACTTACCGTAATGTACTGCAATATTGCTGGATTAGTCTGTATCTTCAGCTTTTTCACCGTCAACGTTGATCGTTTCCCCAGCTTTTCCGGATTAACAGTGGCGTACAAATCAATAGGGATGCGAGATTCTAAAAATAAAAATTTATTACCCTCGACTAAGCACAACTCTTGTTGTTTATCCGTTTATCATTAATATCTTGGATCCTGGCGTTGAGTTCGATTTTTCAAAATTCGAACACATGCATGCAGAACGACGATGATAGAGATGGGAATCGTCGAATCGGACAGGACAGGCACGCTGCAATCTGCATAGTGTACCGGTATCTATAGTGCACAGCGCACATGCGTACATACTCATACACACCTGAACGTACACACATGTGCTTTCGTACGTACGGCGCTGGTGGAAGCCCATCCATCAATCACCGTTTTATATGACAACTAGCCAGTCACAGTCCTCAACCGTGTAACCCATTACCATCCTGGGCGGATGGAAGAGTTACTAGAGTAGCCCGCATAACGTTAAAAATGGGCAGTACCACTACCTGATCTTCATCAGATTCTCTCCATCGGATCCAAGCGGCGCTTGGATAGTTCCATAGTTCAAGCGCTCCATAGTTCCAACTTCCAAGCGCTTCGTGTCTCGTGCACTTTAAAACTTAGCCAAATTAACCTCAAAAGATGCAGAAAAATCAAAATATTTGCGCTACAAAACAAATAAGAATTGCAGTGAAGTGAGTGAACCACTAACTACTAACTACTGAGCTGCAGCTACGTACAGTATGTACTATGCAGCTGTTTCTGTTATCTACTCGTTAGCGTAGAATCCGCGGTCAATGTTTATGTACAATACTTTATTATAAATAATTTCCTGTTGGACTGTGTCGAGCGACAAAATCTAGACAAACTTCGGCGATGGTCGATGGCTTCGACGATTATTTTGTTGTCAATCCCATCAGTTGTGCGAACGCATGCGCAACGCAAAGTACAGTTTAAGTACAGATATGATTCTTATATCTATACTGCTACAGCTAGAACTGATATCTTATACTGAAGTGGGCAAGATGATTCGTCAGGAAACAGGCGAGGTACGTGCAACGGAATACCTGCGCCAGCTAGAGGTTCAGCATCGAAGTCCAACGGGGAAACGCGGCATTCATCCTGGGAACGGCACCAGCCGGCTAATCAAATGTTCTCTGTAATTCGGCCGCCTGTTTCCGCTGTTTGTTAGATTTGTAATGTGATGTTTCTTTTGTGGCTGTGAGATTATCTTTGTATTCGCTCATCAGTAAATACTGCTGTGTACTGTGCATAAGTTTCACAAGTAAACTTGAATAAAGGGCTTAATGCAAAAGTGCACAAGAGTATTGTTGTGTATACAAATCATCTGGCTATAGAATGTCATAAAACAGAAAAAAATGTTTAGGAGTGCGGGAAAGTGAAAGTTTCCTGCATGTATTGAACTATTGATGTACACGAATATAGATATAGTACCATGTACCGGGCCACTTCCCTTAATTCTTGTACAACGCAAATACTTATTTTAATCGTTCTTGAAAACAACAATTCGATCAAATACAAACTAAAGCGCCATTCCATTATTTCCACGCTTAATATTGGAACTTAAGTATACTTAAGTCCGTAAGCAACTGTAGATTAAAGGTGCGCTATCTCCAGAAAATTTCCATAGAAAAGGCCGGAAATGGAATTACAGTGCATCTAATGTACAGCCTGCGTTACTTATTCACATATAGATCCTTACAAATTATCTACATTATTAAATACATAAATGGGTGAAAATGAGACCATGGATAATGATCAAAAAGGTACTAAACCCTTATTGAACAGATCAAGGTGAAAGAGCATGCCGTCGATGGGAAACACGGAGGTATGCTTGATATGGATAGTTAGCTATAGTAACTTATACCACTACGAATACCGGCCATCAACTCCCGGAACTTTATTTCCCATTCCTGGATAATCTGTCTGGACGAGGCGTAATACGGGGCTACAAATGCAGGGCATATGAAAATCTAAATTATAAACAGCATTTAGAACGGCACTACGGATGTACCTGGGCCGTGGTTATTGCCTTATCGTGAAACACGGTTTTATGCGCCGCCTCCACTCCCTTCGCCATCCTCCATCCTTGCCTTCTTCACGAGGTCAGACGTCAGCTCCTGGTTCCCCATCATCATATTGCGGATGCGCAGCCGCAATTCCGGCGGAGAATTCCTCGGCGGGTCGCCGCCCAACCCCGGTCCCGCGGGCGCCGGCATCCCTGCGGGCGGCGGGTACAATTGGGCATATCGCGCCTGCTGCTGGCGCTGGATCTCCTGCTGTTTGCGCTGCAGTTTCCATTTGGCGCGGATCTGCGGGCAGAAGGGCACCAGACATCTGCTGTCGTTGCACGACTTGGCATGGTAGCAGCACAACTGGATCAGCTGCTTGCAGATGGGGCACTGGCCGCTGGATTTGCGTTTGCAGTTCTTGGTATGCGAGAGGACGCGCTTCATCTTCTGACAGCTGGGCAGCTGGCAGGTAAGGTCACGGCATTGGCTGCCGTGCACGAGAGACTGGATACAGCGCTGGATGGAGGCCAGACGGTCTTCCTGCGACACCGGCGGCTTAGCACGCGGCGGCTCCGGGCTCATATCCGGGCGCTTTTTCCCCTTCCCCGACTCGGAGTTCTCGGTATTCTCGGTATCCTGCAAGTCCAGCTGCTCCATTCCCTTGATGAACGCGTCCAGTTCGCTGTTCCACAGGTCACCACTGCCAGACGGCAGGCCCACCACACCGCCCAGCATCCCGTCATCCTTTTCGACCGGATGCGATGGATTCGGATGGCCGTTCATGGAAGTGTCACGCTCGGGCGGTTGAGCGTTGCCCACACCGCCCGGGAAGCGGTCGACGGCCAGCAGAGGATTCCCATCCAGCGTCTGCGTGTCGGGAGCAGTCCCGGAAGTCTGGGATACAGCGTGTGGATGGGAGTAGAGGGAATTCATTTTCCGGGAGTAGAGAAATCAGTTTATCGTTGGACTCTCCAACTGGGATCCTGCATGCAAGTAGAAGCAATAATTATAATTAATTTTGAAGGTAAATCACCAGTGTTCTCCTGTCGCAAGCGTCATTATTATTGGTAGTATTTGGTACAATTAGCGCTACCGCCTATGGGGTGGCGAACGTAGAGGAGATTTACTGCTTCGGTAAGATTTGTAGGAAAAGTCAAGATTTTCCATTTTCTTAGCGATGCGAGTCACGACTGAAGAGCCAGGAGCATATCTTATCATCTTGGAAAAAAACGCTAAATAGGTGAATGAATGCTCGGTATGCTCACAACATTCAGCAAGATCTAATAAAACGCAAAGGCACACAGGCAGCTAAAGCAGGCACCTGCCTACACTCACAGCCTCACAGTCACAGTCACCGTTAACAATACCTCAGATATTCGAAAAGAAAAGCAGTGAAAATCCGAAAAGCGCCCTAACGTTAACTAACGGTGAGCTGTATGGATAATTAACAATTAACTAGTAACCTGTACGCGGATAAATGAATCTGAAACAGTTCATTGCCTGGTGAAACAAGCGACGCTCAAAAACGATTTACGGAATACCTGTAGGCTGTAGCCAGTGCCCGTCAATACAGATATTGCGATAAGTAGGCGCCTTTCTTGGTCACGGCAAAATCCACGTAAATAATTTCCCCAGCTTGATAGCAGGCTTTTCCGGATGGACAATGGAATACTCACCAGTGAGGCAAGATCCCAAAAATAAAAACTATCCGATGTTGGGTACTAATCTGACTGGGCTTTCGCAGTTTACCAGTTTAATCATGGACCCTGGCGTAAGCCCGATACGAGTGGTGTTCGAAAATCGAAATTCGAAGCATAGGAAATTAAAGAATGCAGTACTGTAGGTAATGGAAATCGTACGTAGCGAGATGAACAGGTTGCATCATGTTTCATAGGTGGAACTGGGAAAAACTTGACGCCCTTCGATGATGTAAGTATCATGTAACCAATTGCGACAGCGTGTGCCACCCTAGGGGGCTGGCAGAGCAGCCGTAATTTGCATGACGTAACGAAGGAGGGCGTCATGAAATTTTTTCCAGTTCCACCAATTCAGTTTCATTTTTCCAATGGCAATGGAGCTCGCGCTCGTGCAATAATGTTGATGTGGTTAACAACTCTAAAGATCAAAGAACTACAAAAACATGTAGAATGCGATCGCATTCGCCAGCTTCCCGCACTTCGAACGGGTTGATTATGTAAGTACTCGTACTTTTAAATGCTCGTGCCTCGGGATTGTGGATTAAGCCATCCGATCGAATTGCCAAAAAGCTGCAGAAAAATCTGCATGATTTTCGATAACAACAATTAAAAATGTCGGTCGACCGAAGTATAACTAGGAAAGTGCACCGCTGATGGCTTGCATAAAAGACCGAAGCTGGAAACCAAATTTAATAAACTGTTTTACAAACACATTTTTATATTTAAAAAATGTTTTTTGGTGTGTTCTTCCATATTTTATTTAAAATTGTTAATGCGTGACCGACATGACCGACGTGACCGACAAAATTCCTGTTTTCTTTAACATAGAGGACCTTCGCTTCGGTAGATTAAGTTGTTACCCGCTAGTCGCTACGTATTTCTGCTTTCTGGCATGGAATCTACTGTCAATGTTATTTTACATACTATGATGTTGGGCCGTGTCGCAACAAACACTGCAGCTCCATTACGCGTTCGAGTTCAGCGATGCGATGGTCAAGGGTTGAAGGGACTCAAAACGCCTTGACGATGATCCTCTCGTCATTCGCAACAAATACTAGTAGTTTAATGCAGTGCAATGCAAAGTGTTTGTACCAAAGGTCATCCTAATTTCTAGTGTACATGTAAAAAATGTAAGTAAGTACATTGCACTATCGATAAAATTTTTATGCCGGTATATGTATATATGCCGGTTATAAAAAATTCGTGACAGTTACATGTGTCGGCACTCGGCATCGCAACTGTATTAATTAACATTATCAATGCATAATGAGGTTATAAATAATAAGTTTTGCGATTACATAAATTTTACAGAAACATATACTTCACGTAAACCTGCAGCCTACTATTTTTTAATACCAATGATATCAACATGCCACCCATATACGATCGCTCGTTTGCAGCAGTTCGATACAAATTAGCTCGTGAAAATATCATAAGAATATACTGTAGCCTGCTGATAGCGCAACTACAGTATTAGTCTATAGATATCTATATTAGCATTACGGATACAATATGCAACGCCGGCGTGTACAACGTATACAATATGCAGCCAATGTAGAACATGATACAAATGTGTGTTAGATAGTATTATTGGCACATGGGCAGTATACATGGGCTACAATGGTGCCGGCCCTCCCCTCCGGGCGCGGTCCTCCGTCCGGGCCATCTTGAGGAAGCCGGTGATGAGCTCGGGATTGCTCTGCATGAGACTGCGCACCCGCTGCTGCTGGTCCGGACTGGGCGGGCTCTGCAGCGCCTCCACCAGCTGCTGGTACGGCACCAGCTTCGTCGACGGCAGAGCAGGCCTCCGGAGCATCGCTTCGAAATCTGCCAGCGCCTGTCCGGGCGCTTGCGGCTGAACCGGCCCGTAGCCTTGCCCTTGGACATTCTGCTGCGCACTGCTGGCGCCGCCCGGGACCTGGCCGCCGTGCCCCAGGCTGGTCGGATGCGGACCAGCATGGCCACCCTCTCCGGCATCCTGCAAGTCCAGCTGCTCCATCCTCTTGATACAGGCGTCCTGCGCCCTGTTCCATTGGTCAGCATTGCCGGACGGCACCTCCGCCGCTCCCGGAATCGGGGTGCCTCTGGGGGCTTCTTCTTTCATCGGGGATGACATGTTCGGCTCCAGCGCTGCCTTGTTTGCGGAAAATTAATCTTTTAGTAGCAAGGAATCTGACCGATGTTGGAAGTCCCCGTCGCGATCCTGCAGACGGACAAAAGACAATTTATATTCGCAGTAACAACTGGTACGATCAGCGCTACCGCCTAGAGGAGTGGTAAGTGAAGGGCAGTTTGGTAAGAAATAGTACTATGGCGAAGAGCATCACACAGTTCACACTGTCGTAAAGGGTCGAAAAGAAACGGAAAAAACTGTGATCCAGTGATTATCTCAATGAATGTCACTGCTATAAGCTGCCAGCATTACAGAATTTACAGTACAATGTTGCGTGGCTTTTGTCGGTGCCAGTGCAATAATGGTGGGCGGTTACGCTATTATCAGGCCGAAATTCCTTGGTTAAGCAGTGACGGCACCATGTACCAAACAAAACTCTGCAGCAATGAGAACACAATCTCATAAAATCTTTGAACAGAGCCTGAGCGACTTTCCGGTGCAATATATTCAACAAAAAAATATATAATGCCTCGTATTATCACACTAAATTCCAGAAATACACCCTTAGATTCCAGAAATTCCCGAAATATAGACTCACCCTTATAAGCTTTCACGATTAATTAATCGATTCCGTCGTACTTCGATTAGCAACAACTACCCCAATAATAAGGAATAAAAAGGCAAACGCGGACACCCTACTCAAAAATTAAAAGTTTATTATAAATTAGTACGTAGAAGTACGAGTATTGCAGTTATAAAAGTATGCAACCCCGTTGTTGAGTATAATCCAGAATTAAATACGCACCCGATGCTTCTATAAAGCAAGACATTTATGTAAAACTAAAGCCAAAGGTCAAACTTAATTATGACCACAACAGAACATTTCTCATTTTCGTTATAAACATATAAATTCCATGCCAACAAGAAAATCCTTATAATCCCCGAACAGTATACGTACGCTACACAAAATATTTAATGCCGGCTGTAATTGCATTTGTGTGTATACTTGTGGTAATAATCACTGCGCGCACTGTTTAGTTTGGTGTCCCACCAATCCCTCGGTCTTCCTATTCCTGTCGGGAGGATGCCGGCCACTGTCATATCTTTCATCCTGCTACCTTTGGCGGTACTCCCATTCAACACAGCCCAGTCCAGTAAGTAGGACCTGCACATGACCTCTGCAATAGCGCCCACAACGGTAGATATCTTCGGACTGTATAGTCACTGTACCATAATTTAATGTATTTAAATGCTTCTCGCTTTTAATCGGTATCAGCCAGTACACATTTCAACATCGCGGCGCGGGTTTTTAACTAATTAAGTGTTAATTTAATGATTTTAGTTTGGCTGTAATTAAGGGTAATCCAACGGCGATAATGTGCGTTATATTTTAACGCAGGCCGGTTGGATGTTTTTGATGCTTAAATTTTAACCTGGGAGTAGTGTGTCCGCACGTATGGGAGTAGTGTGTATCTGCACGTGAGGTAGTACTTACTAGAAAACTAATCGAATATTAGAAATGTTAATTTTGAAATTAAAAACAATTCGGTAATTAAGCATATACTACATGCAACATAATTAACGATAAGCATATACAGTAGTACATGCTTAATTAGTATAAGCATATAGTACATGCTTAATTAGCAGCCAGCGTACAATTTTTTTTAAAACACGAATAAAAAAATGTCTAACTTATATTTATCAACAGAGCGACACAATTGTTTTTGGATAACTGCGGGGAGTTGCTGCATGTCATTCAAATTTTTGGAAATTAAATCAACCGCCTAGTCGCGCGATGATCATAATAACTGTTATAACATATTGCGGTGTGACCTATATGTTATTTTAGAGCTTAACGTCGTTGCAGCTGTTATGAAAGTAAATAAATTGCAGACGCGGGCAACCCTGTAAATGCCGGGGCCTTCGACCCCAAGAACGAAACAACATGGCCCTTCTGCGCATCCTGCTACAACGAGCACGATACCGACTTCGCGTCCCATACCAACGAGAACTGCCTGTACGTGACGCTGGATGGATCGACGGTTGGGAAGTGTCGCAGCAAATACTGTGAAGCCAATCTCCGGCGTTGGGCAAAGCGCTGGCGAGATGTCCCGGTTGTCGTCAATCACCTCGGTTGAGTATAACTGTACTTGCCGAACTAGTATAGTGTGGAGTGGGCAGTACCTTTACAAAGGGCCACCTTTTTTGGGTTGTTTATCAGTGCATATTAATGGCATTTCATGCGGAATAAGATGATATATAACGCGGCGCGCGTATATTACATATGTTAAACTGCAAGTTCTTAATTATTAATTAACGTTATTGAATAAAAGTTCAGTTATTATTATGTTTTGCAGCTGTTACTTGATTATATACAAGTCAGCTAAATTAGTTAGGTTGTAATTAGTAAAGTTATACGAGTAATAAAGGTCAGTCAATTATTTTTTTTTATATTTATATTTTATTTTTTATTACATAATTATTCAATAAAAGTCGAGAAAAGATGTAGTTATAATTTATTTTTCTACAATAAAATTAAATATAGCTTTGGTCAAAAGTTGTGAACACCTTATGGTTATAGTTCTTTCTTCTCTAATAGTATGTAATAAAAATTATTGAATCACTACACACCTTTGCATCTTCTATTGCTCCATGATTGAACGAAGTTAAATAATTCTACTTCGTTGATGTTGTTCGACAGTCAACGCGATAAACCGAGGATGTGCCGATAAAACGGCCTTTAACGAAGAACAGCTGGACTTGCTGTGGACGCTGCGGCCTACGCCCTCCTCGTCGTGGGTCTGTGTGCAGATGCAGGACCATGCGGCGCCCAACGTCAACAATTACTACAACGTCCAGTGCGTCTGCCGGGGCAAGATGTGCAACGCCGAGATGACGCAGTGGCAACTGCTGGCGCTGCCACGAGTATCGCGCGAAACCTTAGCCCGCGCCACCACCACCACCACCACTACCGTCGCTACCACCACGACCCGTCGGCCGGTGACCACCTCCACGAGGTCGCCCTGGTACACCACCGAGGTCAGTTCGGCCACCTTACCAGGGGGCATTTTTTGGTTTGCAACTAATTAAAGAGACGTGCAGTCTTTAGTTATGTACAGAGTGTATACGAACCCGGTGAATAGTAATATTTGCGTAGAGGTACAACGAAATTTAATAAGATAGTCTCGATACCACGACCCGCAAACCCCCTCACTGTTTAATTAAGCGTTACATACATTTGGCAAGCCTGGTGCTACGTTGAATAAATATTATTAATAATCACAAACATAATTATTGTATAATCGAAAAATCTATCGATCGAATTTTTCTGTAATAGCAGTCTATTGCAGAATTAGATTGATCGTTGTGAGAATTGTAGTGTAGGGGTGATTTTCTAAGCGCCAATTCATCGCGCTTTTTATAAGCTACCTGCTACGTCACCTATACGAGTACCTTAATTACGCGAGAAATTATTCCCAGTACTCATAATAACTACGGCAATCGGTCATATTGAAAAATTGCGGTGTTTGTTGCTGCAGGACGATTCCGATCCGAATGTTTGGATGTTTTAGAAGGAGGATGTCGACGAGCTGTCGAAGCGATGTTAACACGATCTGTCTGCATTATGTGTATTTTGCATAATTATGCGGAGTTGCTGCATACATCGCTTAATTTTTTAGTAAATTAAATCAACCGTCTCGTGCGTGATTAGGTATAATTATAAATTACGTATGATAATATGACTTTTTATCACGAAGAATTCATCGAAATACAAAGTCAAGTGAAACGTTTGCTGACTGCCACCCATACGGATAATTAACAGTTTGGTCATTAATATATAATGCCCTCGGAAGCACCTCCAGCTTTACGAAAGACTTGCTTTTGTAGAGTGGGTCCATCACATTGATGTTACTAGTATGTATTGCTAAAGTCAAATTCAGGGCAACTAAATTACCATTCCGACATCTGCCTAAAAATCCATGCCAACAGCAGAAACCCAAACTAACATCCCCTTTGTTATCATGTGCCGCATTTTTGGTATAATACCAATACAGTAGATTAAAATAAAATAATTAATATAATGCCAACAAATGCCGGCTGCTAATGTATATAACGTTTAACTGCGTATAATTATAACGTAGGAACTAGGAATCACTGGTGTACGATGCAGTTCAGTGTCCTGTTGATCCGTCGGCCTTTGCTTCCCTGTCGTAATTTTGATTCTTCCACTGTTGACGCTACTCGCATTCAACGCAGCCAAAACCGGTAACTGAAAAAAACCGGTAACCTTGCAAGTGACCTTTATAAAGATATTGTAATTACATTGCAAACGGTGACTACAATATAAAATTAAATGTTACTATGACTTGAAAGGATCGATCAAAGCGATTAAATACGAGATATTAGAAATATACATAACTGGAATAGAAAATAATTATTAGAAATTGAAATGCTTAATTCACTAATCACATCTAAGCAGAGCATACTGGATGGTGAGTTGCGCTCATCTTACTATTTTTTTAAAATTCATATATAAATAACAATTTTATTTTACGAGTTTACGAGTTTCTAGATATTGTATCTAGATATGCGGCTGAACACCAGCTAAACTTCAATGCAAAGAAAAGCGCTCATGTACGATTCACCAGAAAGCGTATAAAAGTGCCAGATAGTCTATACACGTTAAACAGTGAACACATCCCCGTATCCGACAGTGCGAAGTATCTAGGTATCTACCTGGACCGACATCTAAACTGGAAACGTAACAGCGAAAATCTAGCTACCCGCATGAAAAAACGTATCCGTTACCTAAACGCACTGTTTCCATATCAAAACAGTGCGGCTCGAACGAAGTTGTACGATTCCCTTGTCAAACCGATAGCCGATTATGGCAGTTCCGTAGCTTTCTGTCAACATAAGCTAGTGATTGATCAGTTAGAAGACTGCCAGTACCGATTCTTAAAAAGTATCAGATTCGGACCTTGCAAGTTTGAGTATGCCGAAACGTTAAAAAAAGCGGGTTACAAGTCCCTGTTATTTTGTCGTATCCGAAAATCTCTGCTCCTGACGTACAAGATGGTTTTCCGTCTTTTACCTTATGGAGAGAAATTTTTCAAACTTCGGGAAAAACCTGGTACTGCCGCCGTTTGTATTGCAGGCAGAACACGTCAGATACCGTCCCTTGATGAACATCCCTACGCAGTGGAACCCGTGGACACCTGCGCCTCGGACGGACGGAAGTTCATCAGCGAGCGGAGCTTTGCCTTTCTAATGGCGCACTTGTGGAATGAGATCAGACTGCCCCAGGAATCACACAACCGCATCAACAGTTTTGATTCTTGCCTGGATGCGGTTAAGTTGGCGGATTTAAAATGGACTAAGCGTTTCCTTCAACTTCATGTTGATCATTACTGTTTACTGTGAAACTGCATGTTGTCTAGATTTGTGATGTTTTATATGTAAGGCTTTCGCTAATGCGCTAGCCTTTTCTCCCATGTTAGTCTATGACCTCGTGCAGGACATCCCTGATTGTTGTAGACATTAAGCTCATTAAACAAACAAACAAACAAACATCGTCGATTGCTATCATTATCGTGGTTATTATCATTGTTATCATTACTTACGGGAATCAAAAGGGATTAACGTTACAGTCTAAATTAATAAAAGTCTTAAATACATTTTAGAATATGAAAGTCTAAATAAATTTCAGCGGCGGGAAAATACCAGGTAATATTTCCGGATCCCGGGGCCGTATTTGATCCCAAGAACGCAACGACATGGTCCGTTTGCGCATACTGCCACCGCGATAACGATACCGACTTCGCCACCATTGTCGATGAAAACTGTATTTATTCGAGTGTTATTGGGCTGTGCCGCAGTAAATACTGTCAAGTCCATCTCCGAAGATGGCAGAGGCCTCGCGGTTACCCCGTTGCCGTCCATCGCACCGGTTGAGTACACGCAGTTCCGTGTAAAGTGTGCATTGTGCACTACAAAAAGGTCCCTTTTTTGGATACGAACATACCAGAAAAATTCTTGCCGATTTAAATTGCACATATCCTCTTTTACTTTTTTAATGTACATAATACATTTAGAAAAAAGCAATTAACTTCACAAAGCAGTAATAGTTAAGTTAAATTATTCTATCAGCGCAGTTTGCACTAATTAAATTTTCTGTAACTAATAATAAATTTACTGAATTTTTGCAAAAGCTATTTTTGACAATATTTATCACCCAATGAAGAAATTATTAATAAAGTATGTCTATATTAAAAGTATGTTTATAATAAAAGAAAAGCCGAGTAATTAAGTTACATGATTCGGTATTATTTCTCCATCAATTTTTACAAAAGCTATTTTTTTCTACAACTCGATCACTGACCAAATGAAAATAAACTGCTTTTCGCTGATCGACAGTTGACTGGATAAGCCGAGGTTGTGGCGACAGAAACGCCTTCACCGAAGAGGAACTGGATGGACTGTTGGCACTGCGGGCCACGCCCACCGCGTCCTGGGTCTGTGCGGAGGTCCAGGACTATGCGGCGCCCAATGTCAACGAGTACTATATTATCTCCCGGGAGCCGACTTCAGTGTCCAGTGCATCTGCCGGGGCGGCAGGACGTGCAATGCCGGCATGACACAAGGGGAACTACGGTACTGACGCTGCGGCGGCTACCATACGGCACACGTTTCACCCGCGCCACCACTACGATCCCAACGCCGCTGACCCACGCCACGGGGGCGCCGGCATGGTACACCACGGAGGTTAGTTCGTCATTTAATCGTGTGCCAACTTAACTGTATTATTATTAAAACTGCATATATGTACCATAAAAAACACCGTACAATAATTATTGTACAGTAGTTACTGTACAATATAAATGCGTATTGGCGCTTGCTGATAAAAATATTAAGCTCTTTATCGCCGGCGTGCGTAGCTATTTATTATGCAAAAAATAAATTTTTGTTGTTGTGCTCTGCGTTATCTTGATTACGCAGTTTAGATACCAACCCATTAACTCATACATCTTTTTCTTAATCCTGCGTAGGCTTTCTCGGAATGACATGTCACATCAATACGAGTATGGTAAGTACACGCATAAATTCTGTCTTGTATATTACTATTGTATATTATTCATTTGTATTTGGACTCTGATGGCATTCATGATTTAAGCCAGTGTCTTTGTAGATCGTTTGTACTTCTGTATAGTACCCGTGTTTTAAAGGTCACCTTACAGAAATTACGGTCTGAAATCCATGCCAACAGCAAAATACTTACTAATGGTCACTTTGTCATCAGTTTCGGTACAATAAACTAATGCGAGTAGCATTACAGTGTAATAACATTAATAAACTACTACACATGCCGGCTGCAGTTGTTCACGCTTCACAAGTTCTAACGGTATTACTCATTGTTCGCACATTGGATCTCGATCGGTGTCCATCGGCTTGCAAGTCCCTGTAATCGGGAGGATGCCGGCCACTGTCCTACTTTTCATCCTGCCACTTTTGCCGCTACTTCCATACAGTGCAGCCCAAGCAGCCTGTAAGTAAAACCTCCAAGTGACCTTTACATGGACGTACCCTAACATCCGGTTAAAGATCCGTAAAATTATTTGCGGAATAAATTGACATTAGTCGATAATTTATTTAACAACAAATGGCTGCACGCTTGCACTATCCGAGCTCTCGATTCACGTTATGTAGATCCAGTCAACAATACATAGTTTTCTTTGTTAAATAAGTCGGTTTAATTTTCTTGATGGCGTTGATGGCGCGGAAGCGTATGATGTAATTTGTTACAGGGTACGCACAACCTGTACAGGTGACGGTCGGTACGGGTGAGTTCGACCTGAAGAACGCGTCAACATGGATGTGGTGTCACCATTGTGCCGACGAACTGGATGAAGTAACCGGTGCCCAAACCAAACCCTTCTGTACAGAGAACGAGTGGGATTTCGATACGGCCATGAAACAGTGCCCCAGCAAGTACTGCCAAGTCAGTATGCGGCGTTTCTCCAAACGAGTCAGCGACTATCCCACCGTCATCAACCATAGGGGTACGTATATTCCTCGTACAAAGGTCATCGTTCTACTAGTTGCGATGATCAGTGTAATACGAGCGCGTCAGCTAAAGCATCGAATTTTTATGACGTATACCGTACAAGATAATATACCCGACAGCCATATATTTACTATAAGTATATAAGCAATTTACTATACTTCTACTACAAGCCTGGTGAGTGCTTTCTTGCGCAAACGTATACGTACAGCGAGAAGTACAGATCTATGGGTTACGCAAGGATCCATACCACAGCCCGCCACGCCATACTCCCTGTGCGTTACGAGCTTTACGCATGGCTGATGCACGTCAAATATTGACAAACTTCATAGAAACATAATAAAACCGAAGAATTTATGAATCAAATTTATTTATCATGATAATTCGTGGTAAAATTAAATGTATCTTTGTAGTAATTGTACATAGTGCAGTGACTGCTATCTACTGCTAAGCTGTAAATTTGCTCAAGAAATTTATCATCGGACTAAGGGCATGTACTCTGTATATACCCAGTATGGGTAACATAAAAATAATTCATAAAATTATACCAACAGTTCAGTAGTTACTCTGCAGTTAATTCTTAAAATTGCTAATTTCTTTAGCATCAAAATTATAATGCAGCTGTAGGCTTATTTGCGGAATAATTAAATTAATGTAGAATAATTATTGTATACTGATATTTATCTGGAAAGGTCAAGCATATCATTCACGTTATGTAGATCCAGTCAACAATACATAGTTTTCTTTGTTAAATAAGTCGGTTTAATTTTCTTGATGGCGTTGATGGCGCGGAAGCGTATGATGTAATTTGTTACAGGGTACGCACAACCTGTACAGGTGACGGTCGGTACGGGTGAGTTCGACCTGAAGAACGCGTCAACATGGATGTGGTGTCACCATTGTGCCGACGAACTGGATGAAGTAACCGGTGCCCAAACCAAACCCTTCTGTACAGAGAACGAGTGGGATTTCGATACGGCCATGAAACAGTGCCCCAGCAAGTACTGCCAAGTCAGTATGCGGCGTTTCTCCAAACGAGTCAGCGACTATCCCACCGTCATCAACCATAGGGGTACGTATATTCCTCGTACAAAGGTCATCGTTCTACTAGTTGCGATGATCAGTGTAATACGAGCGCGTCAGCTAAAGCATCGAATTTTTATGACGTATACCGTACAAGATAATATACCCGACAGCCATATATTTACTATAAGTATATAAGCAATTTACTATACTTCTACTACAAGCCTGGTGAGTGCTTTCTTGCGCAAACGTATACGTACAGCGAGAAGTACAGATCTATGGGTTACGCAAGGATCCATACCACAGCCCGCCACGCCATACTCCCTGTGCGTTACGAGCTTTACGCATGGCTGATGCACGTCAAATATTGACAAACTTCATAGAAACATAATAAAACCGAAGAATTTATGAATCAAATTTATTTATCATGATAATTCGTGGTAAAATTAAATGTATCTTTGTAGTAATTGTACATAGTGCAGTGACTGCTATCTACTGCTAAGCTGTAAATTTGCTCAAGAAATTTATCATCGGACTAAGGGCATGTACTCTGTATATACCCAGTATGGGTAACATAAAAATAATTCATAAAATTATACCAACAGTTCAGTAGTTACTCTGCAGTTAATTCTTAAAATTGCTAATTTCTTTAGCATCAAAATTATAATGCAGCTGTAGGCTTATTTGTATACATTAATTTTAATGTAGAATAATTTTGTATACTGCATAGTTTATCTGGGAAAGGTCAATCATATACACCACAATTGTACAGCGTTTCGCACGATCCGCTCCTGCCCACAGAACCGTTCCACGATGTATGGCCTAACCGAGGAGGAGCGTGACGCCTTGTGGGACCGCCGAACGGGTGTAGCCCCGTGGGTGTGCCGGAACGACCAGGACTGGGGTGAACCTAATCCCAATGAGTACGCCGATTTTTTCTGCATCTGCAAGGGACAGCACTGCAACTGGTGGGGCAGCAAGGTGCGCGATCTGGTCATACTGCCACGGATAAAAACGAGTGTTCAGTTGATCACCACAAACAGACGGCCGTTTATCCGTAACTCGTAAGTACCGCCGCCTTTACCGGCGTCCGCGTTTGCTAATTGGCAGACATGCATGTAGCGCTGGAAAAAACACTCACGCCATCCAAGCGATGGAGAAGCTGCGGTTCATACTAATCACTAAACTGCATAAGATTCAATTTTAATTTTCTCAGTGTTTTTAAATTCCGATTTCGATTTTAACCACATTTTTGCATTTTATTTATTTTATTTAACTCGGACATCGTGAGTCTGGGTGCGAGTAACAGTAAATTTTGAGTATTGCAGCCATGGAGGTAAATCCATAAAATTAATTTTGTCCTGCTTAAACGCTACAACTTCATGTGTTCTGGGACAATGAAACGCATTAGCGCGTTATTAGGAAACCATTTAACCAGGGTTATGCAGTTACTCACGTAATACATTGTAGCCCTTCCGGAAACGGTACCGGATCCCTTCGACGTCAACAACGCGTCCACGTGGTCCATGTGCCCGACTTGTTGGTACGAGCACGATGAAGACCGGAACGTCATCGGCCTGAACTACGACTGCATGTACAGCCAGATGCCGAACAAAACCCTTGGCAGCAGTATACCGGTTGCCTGTGCCAGCAAATACTGCGAGGTCAGCATGGGACAATTTCAGCGGTGGACAGACAACTACCCCAATCCCGACTACAAGCGCACCTGTGAGTGACGAGCTAGATTGCCGCAAGTAACGGTCAACGCACCCTCCATTCTTCTTTGTACTGTAGTGCTGCCAGGAAGGTCATGGCCTATAAAAGGTCAACTAGGCCCTAACTGTTATATTGTGACCAGTTAAAGATCACGATATAATGAAAGATTATCGGGCTTTATTGATGCTTATAGTGTGACCACTTAAAGGTCACCGATGGTTTCCATCTCCCGGTTGGACGGGCCATCATCAGAGTGTGGAGGTGCTTATGACAAGGCCCGATGACCTTTCGGTCGACAATAATGCCCCGATGACCTTTTGTTGTACTGGGAGCAATATGGCATCGGTGACCTTTTAGGTGGTTACACGATATATAAGCACAAAATATTATGCACAAAATATTATTATAGCGTTATGTAGCATTTTTTCAATTCTCACACCATAAGGACCGCGGTGACTCTGTGATTCAGGAACGTGTACGTACTAGTTGGTGTGCAACGTTGTGTTCAATAGATTTCACCACAAATCGCTACTGCCCGGTCAAGAACCCGAGCTACAACATCATGACGGAGGCGCAGCGTGACGCCATGTGGGCACTGCGGGAGAAGCCGTCCACTCCCTGGGTGTGCAAATAGGTGTATATTAGCCCGTGGGTCGAAGGGCACGGTTCATGGTTCTGTATCTGCCGCGGAGCAACGTGCAGTTCACCCAACGGCGTCGCCGATCTGCGCTACCTGCCACGCCTGCCTATCGACGTCACACTCGTTACCAGCGCCTCCACCGTCAGGGTCACCACTACCACCACCACCACCCTACGGCCGGTGACCCCCACCACGGCATCGGCATGGTACACGACTGAGGTTAGCTTGCGGTCCGGTCATGCGTTAAGTTTCTATAGTTGGAAAGGTGCATTTTTGTGCGAAAATCAGATATAGCTTGAAAATTAACTTATAAATTTCCCTTGTGTAAATATTCAGAAATACCATTTTCGAGGAGAGGTATAAATTCGAAGAGAAGTGGGTTCGGCGGGAATGGCTGGTGGTGTCGTAACTGCACATATCTATATATGTATTCGTATAAACAGTAATGAACAAAGTTCAGAAGCGTGGGACTGTCGAAAAGATGAAAAATTTTGTGACGCAATATTCATTAAAACTACATTAAAACTACCATATTAAAGCATCTAAACATAATGTTATGCGGTATTTGTTGCTACAGGACGATTCCGATCCAAATATCTGGATGTTTCAGAAAGAAGAGGATGCCGTCGAGGGCTTGTAGCGATGATATCAACGAAATATCTGCCTGTTTATGTACCTACAAATTCTCGTATTATACTAACCGGCTTATTGTGGTTGTACAAACAAGGATATAATTATAATTATGCAATATAATTGCTATATGGTATATTGAATACCATACGGTACAAAGTGAAATGCAAGACATATTAACAAAAAATCGCACTATCTGTTTTTGCCCGCGTAAATAACTTTACCGATATCGTATTTGTGTACATGTAGACCTCGTAGTGTATTTGTTTTATGAGCCTCGTAACTAATTAAAGAAAGTGATGTGCTTGCTGCATTCGCTGTCGGCAGTAATCTGCGCATTTACGAGTATATTTGACTGTTCCGCAAAGTACCATTTTTTCTTCGGGAAAATTGCTACTACTTGTTATTTCTCTGCAATGTGCAGGGTTGGTATTTATAGTTATGACGTATTTTTCTGTTGCTGATTGTAGCGCAAATGCATTCATGATATTTCACAAGGGATGCTAAAATAGGATTTTTATTTTCTTTAATTGCTATTTCTAGTTATCCCGAGGAATAAATGCGCCAGCACCAGTCGTACAGATGTTTAGCCAGAAACTGACCACTGTCCGATGGTATACTGTCATAAATAGTTGAAATCGAGAAAACGAACTCGTAGGCAGTAAAATACTGTAGTCCACATCCCTTATTCCCCCTGTTAATTAAATCTCTTGCAGCAGATAACAATTTCAATATTTCTGCCTTGTACTGCAGTTTTGTCATGTACAATACGTCACTGCCAAATATCAACACATTTGTATAGCCCCGGCCGGAACAGCATAACACTATTATTAACTGACCGTGAATGCCACTGTTAATCTGATCATCAGGAAAACATATCCGCGGGGCTGGACCAATAAAGCGGCATGATGAGATATGGCGGTAAACTTTTTGTGGATTTACCCATAACTTCATCCGCCTCTGTTGCGGTCCAATTATGTCGCTTGCGTGACGTCTCCTTTAATAAACACTCGTATTGCTGCAGAAAGAGCGCGCATTTATAGAGTGCGTTACAAGAAATTATTTTAAAGTATAATCTAGCATTAATACATACATATATTTTGCACGCTTTTGCACTCAAGAAATAGTATAATAATTACTGTCATGTAATCAATCCATTGATGAACTCATTTAAAGAAATATGAACTCATCTAGATCTCTTTCTAAAAATACGAACATTTTTATTTACAGTGTAAGTTTGTGATGTTTTTTTTTTAATTAGAAGTCCGTGCACAGGAAAGAATATATGTGGAAAAAGGAGAACCTCACGATGACGAAAACTAGGGTCGATATCACCGGTGACTTTATTAGAGTTTTGCCGGCACTCGAACATTTTTATTTGACTACGTTTGTCATATTCCAATCTGGTGGTTCATAGTTTTTCCAAACAAATTTAATAAGCATACCTACATCGATCTTTCTCTAACCATGGTAAGCAATTAGCATGGCGTGCTCATCGTCGAAAGAAAAAAAAACCTCTCCTACTCGTAGACGCCTAAAAAATCTTATGGCACAGCGGAAGAATTAATTCGCATTGATCCCAAGCTCAATCGATTAAATTCTTCCTGCCTGGGATTTGTTTCCAAAAGTGGTGGCGTGACGGCGGATTACACAGACTACATAATTTTTGTTAGCTGGATGATCACAAATTTACAATACGAATATTTTACACCAGATATAATGCCGCTGCAGTGAATTCCAGTGTCAGTGTCCTCTGTTTCTGTTCGCTAAAATGACATCACCTCTTGCTACATCTGAGACCGAGGGTCAGCGAAAACTCCAGGAATTAATAGCCACTGGAGTTGAACAGGGAATAGAGCGTCATTTATTGGGAAACTTCACCCCCGCGATAGGCCCACCTCAACTTCCGCCAATTAACAATGGATCGCCGATCGATTCTGCTGCCAAAAGCTTCTGGGATAATTTCCGATTCCTGTTAACAGAGCCATGGATACGCGACTTTGGAATGCCAATATTAGCCATGCTCTTGGTGGCTGAATTGACCGGCCAATTAGGCTTACGTCGGAGACTGTTATCTTTATGGCGTCGATGCGGGGCATATATGGGTTTGCGTGGGACGGATGAGGAGGCTGAAACTACAATGGATATTATTTTTGAATACGCAGCATTGTGCCAAAATCTGGCCTATATGCTGTACATGACGTTCCAGCTGTACGAGAATGAACACACCAACGAAGCAGGCATGCCCAATGGTGAGTGCAAGTGGAAACAAAAATAATATCTATAATAAAAGTAAAATACCGGTATCATTAAAAAAATCAAAATTTCGAGACATTGTGTGCTTTGGCAAACTAACACCGGACAGGTTTCGGCTATTTTTACCGGACACCGGATAGCTGTTTTTATACAAAAAATATTAATGTATGCGTATTTAACTTACTAAAGTCAGCTACCAGAAGGAGCGTGAATCTCCGGCTGCAACTGCTGATTCTTAATCAATAATTCAATCAAAAAAGAATAATTTTTCGGAAATTTTCGTGACCATAGGTCAAGCAGGGCGAAAATTGATAGAGATGGGCATCCTGCCATTTGGCAGGTAATACGGCGGAATTTGTAGAAAATGATGGGCAGTTAGCACTGAGGACCACGACCACTTGGAAGAAATGGTTTGACATGACTCACATTTGTCAGATATTGTGATGGTCATCGAGATGACCAGTGGTCAAGAATTGATAATATTGGAAAACGTACATTTCTGAGCGGCCATAGGCTAATAAAGTTGCGAAATCCACCTTGTTTATCATCGCGGAAAATTATTTCGACAAGGGAAAATAACTTTTTAATTTTGTAGACGACGAGCTGATTTCCACATACAAAGGCATGCTGAGCGCCAAAATATCGGTTTTGGCGGAGAATGGACGTCGAGATGTGGCTAAAGGCCATCAAAGGCATGAAGTAACGAAGAGGGAGCTAAAGGATATACGCCTGGCTGCTGAAAAATCCGATGGACTACAACAAATGCTTGAAGGAGCATACGCATTTTTCCGGTTTGCAAGATTCGTTCGGCTTGGTAAGCCAAATTTAGTTTTGTTAATACGTTGATCAACATGATACCGATTAATAATTCCTACCTCTGTACTTTTACTTTTATGAACGTTTGTGCAGTTTTTCGTATGTTTAACGGTGTAATAGAAAACAAGAGAAAAATAGAAAATAATTCTTATAACAATTGGGCATACCTTTACCTTTATACCTTTGGGTTACCTTTACGCACAATCTAAAACAATTTGTGTGCGATCAGATGTAGATAGGTTCTTCTGATTACCAGTCTGTACTGTACGTTTCGTCTTATACCAAAATCACTTGTTTGATGTTTCTGTAAAATCCGTGCAGGTACGTACTTACTCTTAAGCGCCCGGTTTACATACATGTACATACTGCAGGCACCCCCCTTTTTCAGTGATTTATCCATGTAATTGTTCGATAATTGTTTCCAATCCGCCTGCGCTTTATTTTAATTACAAAACTGTAATTGAAATATTTTGGAAAAATAAGACATAATTATATCGCACCCTATCCGACGTGATTCGATTAATTATCGATCGGTTATGTTTATCAGCTATCGTCTTTTACTGCTATCACTGTTTTGCAAATATTTGGGCGGTTTTGGGCGAATGTTTTGGAAATCAAAAGTGATTTACAGATTTACAAAACAGAAAATGTTGTACCGTTGACCAGTGGACGTTGACCTTCCCGTCTCCAGAAAGAAATATACCATAAACTGAACGCAAGAGCGAAAACGTACGCTAACTGAAGCGCGGACTTGTCCATTGTCAACAGCGTGATGACTCGGTTCTAGTTCTATTAACTTGTATAACTTCGCTTCTGATAAAGAAAATATTTTATCGTAGCTCCCATTATATATGTTTGTGGTCTATTGTATAGTATGTATTACAACCGACAAACAGGATATATTGTAAATTTGTACCTTATTAAATAAGTTAAATTGTGCTCGAAATTTTGTGAGCGATAGCTAGGCGGAGCATTTGATCAAAACAGTTTCATGAAGTACGAGTAAAGACGGAACCAGCATCCAGTTCACATTTTGGAAACTGACAAAGGTGTGCATAAGAGAAACATAAAAAACATGCTTTTAATCTGTTCTGTTTCGAAAACAAAATGTTTTCTGTAAAGAGAATAGCAGAAAAGCGTGAACCCAGTGTAACTTGTGAGTTGTGACCGTCGGTACAGTAAATAATGCACAATAATTATATCGTGCAATGTATCGTATGAGGAAAAGTAGTACAGTATTGTAAAGATTGCACTACGAGTAGTATTTTGTGTGGTATTATACATGTACGGTAGAGTATTACTTACTGCAAGGTGGTGCTGGTCGACTGGCTGAATGTTTTGTCGTTTCTGCCGCTTTATCCTGCATGATTATTATTTGTCAGTACAATTATATTAGCCTGAGCTTTTGTTTTTGCAGACAACACGGGCACACTTGAGCATCGCCGCGTCATCGATCGCATCCGATCGGACAGCTATACGAGACGGGAGGCTGCAAGACAGGCACTGCCGCCGGGCATCTCATGATGGCTTGACATTTTAAAATTTTTTAAAATTCATTTTAAAATGCGAAAAACATTCTAGAAGTCTGGATCCGTACCAAAACAATCTTCATGGTTATGTGCATTTACGTGCAAACTTTGAAAGGGATCGGTCCATAATGAGACTTTTGGTACACCTGAATGCATTTAAAGTTTTTGGAATTTTGTTACCCTCATAACTCCGCAACCGGATGTTGCGCGCGCAATTGGATTTCACAAATATGTATACAATTCTTTTGGCTACAAAATACCATAAAGCAGTGCAAAAAAGTGCTTGGGAGTGCGCGACAGCAAAAGTTCCCGTCAATGTACATGAATTTAGTGCTATGTACCGGGCCAAATCCCTTAAAAAAATGTGTCCAATGTACGTATAATAATAAAAATTGACTGTTACTAATCGAAGAGGCGCATTATGCACCGAGTAGTTTCTCCGGAAATCATTCGGGCTACCAGACCAACTCGGGTCACCGATGTATTCCGAGACAACAGTACGGAAACGCATTTTTAAAGAAAAGGAGTAAGGCGTGGAAGGGAACTCACATGTCAGAAGAATGGAAAGCCAGTCAGAAACACATGAGATCGGTCTGGGCATCCACATACAGAGTACTGAAGAACCAAATCTCGAATCAAGAGATATTTCCCAAAAAATAAGGACGTAGGGATATATGAATCTATTGATAATGTGCTAAACTTACTAATTCCTGCACCTTTCTCCACTGACCACCAGTTGTCCACACGTCATCACAAAATAGATGAACTCATCATATAGTTGTCTTCAAATTAACGAACTGTTCCTTTTAGTTTTAATCATATTGTTTTCTTCCGTCTAATGTGGTTGCTTTATGGTAAAAAAATTTACCAAGCTCGATGCGGTCAAAATTACGTTATATACAGTTTGCAGCTTTACACGGAAGTCTTGTCATGCGACCTGTACTGGGATAATTATTACAAAGAAAAGGTCAGGTGTGAACCGGTCACTGTTTATGTGGCACTGCTATCGCCTGTTTTACGTGATTCGAAAAAATTATATTAATGAGCGCGTGGAACTCCACCACAAGTTTTCCCAAACCGGCTTTATATGATCATTATAAATTGTTAGTGCTCTAAAAGTTATCGCAAAACTACTCACAAAAAGTTTGAAAAACAAAACATACCATATCCTATTCGTATAATTAACACGTATAGCTCATTATCAGAGCAAATCGCTAACCTACCGAAAAAGAACTTATCAGGAGAAAAAAGGCGATGAAGGTATTGCGCAGTTGACCAGAGCTATACTACACGAGTTTACCGCAAAAAAGCAGAGCTTCTCAGTTCTCACCAGTAGGAAAAAATATTGAATATCAAAAGCTCGACACTGTCGTAGTTGTACTGCCATATCCACAGAAAAATGGAATACGGGTACGTGTAGCACAAAAGATGGATGCATTTAAAGATTCTGGCTTCTCCCAGCTTTTACAATCAACCGAATGGACTGCATTATCCATTCGTGACTGACGCCATCCGGCCGGAACCAACATTCGATAGTTCCACTCTCGGTCGCCGTCAAAAAGTTGAAGAGCATGACGGCAACAAACTCCGTTTGGACATCAGTGCTATTGCTGCGGTAAAGCTGTTCCGTTAAAGGCGCAATATACGGCCTCTTGCGTGCATAATATGTCCCGTAGGGTTCTTCGGAGGGAGCCCATCGGGTTTCGCCATTCAGACGCCACATTACTGAATTGCGGATATTCTTCACCGTACTCTGCGGCAGAGGAAGCCGAACATGACACGTGACGTTGAAAAATTCGCCTTCGTTCACGGATACCTCCTTCATGTTCCGCGAAAAGATTTCGTTAGCGCGAGTGACCTTTACATGAACAGTAAACCGTTTGAGCGGAACAACCCTCTTAAAGCCCAAATCCGCCGATTCTTCTACGCAGACGACTTCGCCGCCTGATTGCAACGATACATTTAGAATACCTGCACAAAATAAAAAATCTTTACAATGATGTCCATAATTTATTGAATTATTTATGGTATACGAGACTCGTACTTACAGATATCCATAATAAAATATATTGTAGTAAATACCTGTATCACACTGAGTACCAATGCGAGACATGGTACTTGATGTGATGCCGCAGTTGTTTTGTCGAACGAGATCGGTAAGAAACTACTCGTATTTTTTAGAACAGGCGAAAGCCGTTCCTCCTGTTTTTTTTTTGTTTCAACGTTAAAATTTGGAAAGTTTTCGAGGCAATACTACAAGTGTATTGTGTACTGACCTGCCTCATGCTAATTGGGACAAATCCTTCATTTGATTGTGTTTGCAGAGCGAAGCTCACTTTGTAAATTTTGCGTAATAAAGATTTTGTACAGATAAATACCTAAGATCGCCACTCGGCCCCAGTGGGTGGCGTTATAAAACTGATTATTGGTTCCGTCATCGACGAGACGTTGGCCTTTATGGAATATGGGTATACCCTGATGGGTCCAGGAGATGTCCTTTGCACCGCCTATGGACGCTTCGCAAGTTAAAATTAGATTTGCGCCAGTTCTTGGTCGATAAATGTGCTCTTCCGTTGCAGAACTTTTGCTGGTAGCTCTCTTATCATGTTCAGGGAATTTCAGACTGATTCTATCATCTTCCCGGGTATCCCCCGACCGCTGGATGATGTCGTCCACTAAAAAATATTTCATTTTGTATTTGCGTAATTCACTTTGAAATTCTGTGGTTTGTAGAAGCACAATCTGCAAAACTTTTAGTCCCGAACACGAACAGACCTTTTTATAAGGTCGAACACATTTATTGTAGCTGAATTTATTATTACGTATATGCAGTTTTCTTATTTAAATAAATGTCCGGATTGATAACTATATTTTAGTTTTAAAAAATAAAATTATTAACGATAAGTTAATTTTTAATACATTTGAAGCTTCATACATTCACGATAGGTCAACAACACTACTGTACACACTGCTGTATTAACGATAAGCGTTTAAAATAAGACTAATGTGCAAGGGTAATTTAATTTTTTTAGCTACGCCTTACGGTTAAGATCTGCATCGCTGAAGGTTGTGGTTGGAGATGTGACTGCAGCGACAGTCGTAATTTTGCGCATTAAACTGCATGCCTCGCTCCGGTGTCTTGCTGCCCACACACAGGAAAATAATATACAGCAACAGCACAACGAGAAAAAAGAATTGTTCCGCGCATTTCTGCTGCAATTATTATCCGAGAAAAGGGCCAACATCGAAAGACTGCATGAATCAGCCGTTTAGCCCCGTTAGGGGATTCAGAAGTCGAATGCATGGTTTTGTTAACCTTTGCTATCTCTGAGGTAATAATATTTACTGCAATAGCACCATTTGTGCAATCGCTTGTAATTAAGGCACATGTACTGTACTTATTTAATTTTAATTACATTTACTTTGTAATGTAATGTAAACTTTTAAGCAATTACGAATTAGGTAATCATAATTTCAGAGCCTCCTGGGTGTGCGCACACTAGCCTGCCGACAGAAAGTAAACGTACTGTAAGTACTTACGTTTATTTAGCCAGTATAAGTTGTGTAACTGACATTTAGGCAGCGTAGCAACAAATCGGCTACGACTAAGGAACGCCACACGCATCACCTGCGTTGCCACCGTCCCGTGGACATCATCGAATCCCTGCCGCCGGCTATCATCCCTACGGAGCCGTCATGGTACATGACTGGCGGTAATTTGCAGTCTCATCATGTCACAGAAAGCAGAAATACGTAGCGGATAACAACTTATACTTCGGTCGACCGAAATTTTCAGTTGTTTTTGATATCGAAAATCATGCAGATTTTTCTGCAGCTTTTTGACAATTCGATCGGATAGCTTAATCCACAATCTCGAGGCACGAGCATTTAAAAGTATGAGTACATAATCAAACCCGTTCGAAGTGCGGGAAGCTGACAATGCGATCGCATTCTGCTTGTTCTTGTAAGTGCGCTGCGAATTGAGAATAGTGTCTCCAGATACAATTATCGGACTACAAAGGAAAAGGACGGTTGCGCGAAAACATCATAGTCGTTTACCATTTTTATTGTGTTTTCTGTTTCCGAGTTTGGGGTTCGTAGTTATGATAAAGTGCAGATACTTCCTTGAGAATGATTGCAGACAATCAACAGCGCGCAACCGTGTCGCAGGCTGCAGCTACCAGAAGCTGCCTTACGGCGTACGATTCGGTCACCTCGCAGTTTTGTGTCTACTGGCCGGACATGAATATTTCGTTGATCCCGTATATAGTGCCAATTTGCTGATTTGGGCGGTGTCCACTTGTTTTAGATCAGCGTCACCCAACCATGATCGCGGTGTGCCGTCTGAGTGAAAACACAAAGTTGCCACTTTTGGGAAACACAGAAAACTGTTAAACACTCTTGGCTGAAATCTACAAATGATCGCATTTACGGGGGAATGGCCGTACATACAGTACATACAGACAGTTTTCATGGTGTTCGCTGGCAAGTGGTCCGTAATGCTAGCCACCGCAAGTTTCGTGTGGCTGCACAATTTTATCGCGCTGCGCCGGGAGGCAACCAGTTCCCTCGTTTTCTGGCCTGCAGCTGGTACTCGGCGTACGCATTTGAGTTAATTCTCCATAATTTTTCGAAACTAGGATCGTTTAATAGGAGCTTTCGGTTTTGTAGGAGGCGACCTTCCAGTTTATACATACAGATAACACCGTTTAGGTCCGTAGCGTATGGGTTATAATTAAACGATCGTTGATATGCAAAACCGATCGATAATTTGAATTATTGGAGGCAGCTCGAGTACAAGCTGTTCCTTATTTTTAAAGCTAGTGTTATAATAAAGAGCGATTAGACTGGAAACAATTATCAAAACAACTGCATTGATAAATCATTACTGAAAAGGACAGCTACAGTAGTAGTATACAGCGGGGGGTGATGAAGTAATCAGGGACCGGCTTGGCCAGATATCCGTCCTGGTTGGCGTTTACAGGAGCATTTCACGGACGTAAATTCGGTATTGCATAGTAACATTATCATAGCCATTATTCCATAAAATACACAACTAGACTTTCTTATAGACTTTCTTACTACCACAGTGTACCACTCAAGGAACGGATTCCAAAAACCGGTACCACAAATTGCGCCTTCATTTATGCACCGCAGATCATCGGAAAACTCTTCAACCAGGTGCATACACTTTGTAGTCGCGCTTTGATATTATGCCCCCTTTGTCGCGTCCAACAATTTCCGATGTCCTTCTCCGGCCGTCAAAGAACTCTTTACTCTTACCATGGTTTTGTAGGCTGTTTTAAATTGCAGCCTATAAAGCCATGCTAAGCGAAAAACCAATATAAGGAAGTTTTCTTCTGTCACCCGCGATGGTGTAGATTGTATCATGCCAAGTGTGCCGATGGTCAACAAATGTTTTCGTATCAAAAGCAAAACCAGCTGTTGGTTTAATTATTTCTGATTTAACTACGTACGTGTACATTGTTGACCATACCATAAACATACCATACCATACCATACCATAAATCGTCCATATCTAGCCTTTGTGACCATAGCCGACAGGAGCCCAGCCAGGCGACGCACTGCCACGTATCCGAAAATAAAATCCATTGCCCTTTGGAATTTCTTATCGCTTTCCAGCGAAAACCACTTTGGCCGCCATCACTGACAACACAGATTTCGCGACCCTACGGAATATTCCGGAGTCTTAGAGCTAAACCTGCGAAACATAACAACTGACCGGGCAGGTTTAGCCACATTAAAGAGTGCAGGAAGATAATGGCAAGTACATAATATGCCTTTACTGGCAATATTGTTTGTTAGCCAAACTGTTACGTATCCAGGGTTCGAGAATGAATAAAAATTCACATGATTCGGAGATTCTTTGCTGACTGGCGAAAGACGAATGAGGTGGGCATTCAGGGTGAAACATCCCTAGTGTTGCACTATTCCCAGCCTGATTAATTAGGCTGGGACCATGCAGTACAGGGGCAGTTTCAGTGAACACTAGTGGCAATAAGCGACCGGGAGCTTAAGACGGCCAGCGGTGTCAGCTGTAATTAGAAACATGGTTGACTATGGCATTGTACAAGTACCACCAGAAACAGCCACCACTTTGGCTTGCAATGCAGTTGCTTTATATCTCACGTGAAATACTATGGAAATACGAGCAACAATTCAGCTAATAAAAGAACCATATCAGCGGTCACGACACATGTACAGAGTCTGTACACATAATTCAATAATGCACTATATTGACGATAAATTCGAGACAGGTACTCTGTAGAATCTAAGCCGGTAGCCGTTCCGTCGATCTTAGCCCTGGATCAATGTAGCGGATCAATCCTTCCGCTGTGCCATATTCAAGATTTTTTAGACGTCTACGAGTAGGAGAGATTTTTCTGTCAACGATGTGTCTAGCGACGGATCAATGTCTTTGTGGTATGTTTTGTTGGAAAAAGTTTATGGATTATCGGAATGGAAGAACAACAAGAGCAATAGTGCAAGTGCTTATTATTAACGAAACAGTCACGACAAACGTTGCAAATGTGCGGTATAATTCGCTGTTATACAGTACATGTAGTACCTTTCGGATCCATATTTGTGGATGCCTCAGAAAGCGGAAGATGTCGGAAATTGTTTGAAGGTCGTTACGAGATATCTATTGCTTATCCAGTTACGATTTCCCATAATAATTTTTAGTATATAGATATACCCGTCTGTGTCACTATTCGGGTCTTAAATATTCTTTACTGCAGCATGCTCCTGTACGTACATATGATGGAACAAAGCGTACCTTTTCCGCGCCGACAATGTTTTCTTCCTATAGAGCCAGCCAACGTACGACAAGTATCCGACATGGCCGGAAGTATCATGCTGACGGTGGCTCCGTATACATTCATGCTCCGGAGAAAACATCAAATCGCATTTGTAGCGGTTTCACTGTGATCCGCTAATCAGGCGTCTCGCATCGTTTTATTCGACCCTTGGATTTTTTTTCGGTCGCCTAGCGGCTTTTTTTACTAGCGTTGCTCTTTAATACTGCTAAGCATACAGATATGTACATGTATTTGCTAGTAGTGCTATAATTATATTAGTTTTGTATGTGCTCCATAGTACAGTATTGCCGGCTAATCAATAGTGTACTGCAAAAACTAAAAACCTTACATAATGGCGACGAAAGGCAAGCATGCACATGCGGAAATTAAACGGAATTGAAATTAATTGGCCGAGATTTTTTTCTGGTTATTACACTGTGATATTCCGCTGCATTGCAAATACTGCATTTTTTATATGCCCTTGATCCAATACGAATCTTTTTCAGAACTTTGATACAACTGACGAAATGAATGTGTTACATTTACAAAAACAACACACTCGTTCGTACTGACTATGTATTGCCGCACCTGAGATGAAACTGTCGTGTGGTGTACATAATTCACGGTATGACAACATAATACACCCTCAAAGACCCATAAAAATGTGAGCAGTCTGGATAATTGGTCAACGTAAAGTTGTGGCGATAGCAGCTGATCGGAGCAAGGCCTCTGAACGCACCGCCCCGTTGGAACCCGATGCCCGGCGGTGGACATGCTGTACTGTACAGAGCGGCAGGCGACAACTGGACGGTCAGATCCATTCCAGCTGTCAACAGGAAGTCCATTCGCACACCATACGGGCACATTTGAACATATCCAAACAGCATACATACCCGGCCGTTTTCGTGCATTCCCTGCTGCGCTTGGCCACACCGACCCACACGCACATGTACGCAGCTGGCACCGCACTTTTCGGACTCTAAACAACTTTCTTTATCAAAACAAACTGCAGATTCGTCTTTCTCGCGACTTTTTACATCTGGCAAGCTAGCCCAAAGGCCGATGAACAGAACGGCCATCCGGTAATTACGTACATACATTGCACAGTGCCGCTACTATGCGATTCTTGGGAAAAACTACCAGTGCCGTCCTCTAGCCTATCCAGTTATGTATGTCCTGGTGGGGTCGGAACAAGCACCGCACATAACCCTCATCGGCCAGTGTGACTGCCAGCAAGTGTAATCTAACGTGTTTCAACCGTCCAGGACTGTTGGATTACCTGGAGTAATTCGATTCGGCGATCCTGCACTGTATTAACAGACATCGCAGGTGCGCGACGCATATATAAGAAGTCAATTCTAAGAAATTTTTAAGCTGATAGCTTTTTTAAGCTGCTTCAGTCTTCAGGTCAGTGATCTTCTCCAAACAGAAACTGTACATATACTTCGCTCCAACGTGTTTCGAAAATCAAAGTGCCAGTCCTCATTGTATCCGGCATTTTCTGTCTGATTGCCGTACATGATTCGGCCCTGGATGATCGGCCGGGGTCCGATGTACAGTATGACGGTCCGCCGTGGTCGAACTCGACCCTTACCCTCTCGTGCTGCGAACCGTGATCTCGGCCGCGCAGTAAACCGTAATAATTTTCCGTCAGAAACTCTGCCCGTTGGCATAGTTTACC